CTAGAGCATAAGTCCAGAATTCAAATTCTGCCCTTCCCCTACTATCCCAATTTCTAGCAGGAGTTGAATTAAAAAAAAAATTATAACAAAAATTCGTAATTATATTCGAAAAATAATAATAATTACCTGAGAGAGCCAATGGAGACTGTAGGATGAATGGACAAAATCGAGGCTATTCCTTGGGAATAGCCTGCCGTAGAACGAGCCCGGCAAACCCGATACGAAGCATCTCGTACTTGGATTATTAATATTGAGTTTTTCGTAAAAATCGGGCAGCATTTTGAAGAGGTTGTTGAAGTCATTTCCATGGAGGTCACTCAGAAACACTTCATACTCATTATTGTTTTCTTTGGAGAGATGTTCGATTTTTTCGATTATACGAGAAATTACCGAAAGGGCGTTAGGGCCCGATGAACAGCCCAAATCAGCTATCTTGAAGCATTTCGGAAAGCCGATATCAGTTATCATATCTTTGATTGCTTCATCCAATACATGCAATGATTTCGATATCCCTATTTTCTGCAACATTAATTAGAAACACATATGTGAGAGAGAGAGAGAGAGAGAGAGAGAGAGAGAGAGAGAGAGAGAGAGAGAGAATTACCTGAGGGGCAGAATTGTTGGTGTAGCTAGTTTCACCATCACCTGTATTCATATGCTTACTACCTTCATTAGTATTCACTGCCATTGTTTGTAATTTGAGTTGCTATTTTTCTCTCTGTTATTTGACTAAGTACAATAATGTACCCATGCAAATATTGAATGTTTATATAGACATAATTGGTTCACTTGTGAAATTTATTTCAATGCCCATTTTTTTTTTTTTTTATGTTGCAACAGATTTAGATCTGTTTAGACAACAATTTACAAATCTGCTATAAAATGATTCATTCAAAATACGAGGTTAAAAAATGAGTTAAGTTTGATGCTTCTTGAGCGTTGACTTTTGGAACCAGCGATGCTGACAAATCGTTAATTATTTTGTAGTTCATGTAATATTTATTTATAAAGGGATCGAAATAAAAAAAACTCTTTTACAAAAAAATATACACATTATCTGGAGGTGTGTAAAAGACTACAATACCCCTCACATTTTAATATGCTCCAATTTTATCATTTAATCTCAAGTTGATCATAAATTTCACAAATTATTCAATTTTGATCCAAAACTTAATTTTGGCCACAATTTCGCCCGTCGCCGCCGTTGACCGCTGGTCTCAACGTTGACTTTTTCTTTTCTTTTCTCCTGCTTTCTTCACCGATTTGCGACGTTGACTTTTTCCACTACAATTCGTCCCCATTTATTTAATTTTATATTTTTTTTTAATTTGAAGATCATCCGAAGATTTGAAACGCGTATTACATGATTTTTAGATCCATCACAGTACTAAAAAATAATTCATCCACAACAAGATGACATAAAATTACATTTTGATGTTTCCAGGCATTGACTTTTGAGCAAGCCAGGCCACCCTAAATCTATAGTTTGTCGTGTGTCCCGAACCGAATAATAATAACTATTAAATTTTTTTTACGAAGTTCATGTGAACCGGTTATACGTGTTCGTTTTGCACGTGTATTATGTATCTAATCCTCGAGTTTAATTTGGGTCTTTGTTCGACTTTATTTATATATACTATATATGGTTTCCTTGTTCTATTTCAGATTTTAAGTAAAGAGAAACTATTTTTGCCGATTCGAGACGATTTAGAAACGAAGCCGAGAATCAAGCTAAATATTTGCAAAAAGTGTATTCAAGTAGATTGTGGCAGTATTCAGTATTTCAAGCATAACACGAATCATGGAAATTGGAACGAATTAATGAAAGTTTAGGTATATATGAACGTGCAATTTTTTTCAGTCTAGGGGGTAACGTGCAAAACGCATAAAGTTCAGGGAGAAAAATGTTATTAACCCTATTATATATGAGACGTGATTTTTGTTTTTTTTATGTTGCAACAGATTTCGATCTGTTCAGACAATTAATTTAAAAATCTGTTATAAAATGATTCATTCAAAACACGAGGTTAAAAAAATAGTAGAGTTTGATGCTTTAATTTCTGGGGCGTTGACTTTTGGAACCAGCGATGTGGACAAATCCTTAATTATTTTGTTGTTCATGTGTCTTGCATTATACACATACAATAATTCAAAGCAGATTAAATTATATATGTAAGAGGAAAAAGAAAAATAAAAAAATAAAAAATCATTGTATTGTTTTTTAATATGGATAAGAGAGATTCGATCAACTTCCAAGTTAAAAGATTGAATATGTATACATTTTTAGTAACAACTTGTTTGGCTAAACTTATAAGCTGTCAAAAAATAAGCTGTTTCAGAACTTTTTTTTTTTCTTAAAGTACTTATACTCCACTTTCTTATTTAAGATCTTATAATGAGTGAAAATAGCTTATAAGCTCTTTATCCAAACACTTTAAAGATTGATTCCAAAAATAAGATGTAACAACTTATCAACTTTTAAAAAATCTAATCAGACGTTAGAGATTAACCTACGAAGGTCGAAGCTAAATTTTGTAAGTTACATTTGGATCCCAATGATGTCATAATTTGGCATAAAAACCAAACAAGATAAAGAAAAAAAAAACTTCCATCTATAAGACGAAAAAATGGAATTTTTTAATCCGTCGATTCCGATCCAAAAAAATGGGATTTTTTAATCAATCGGTTCCGATCCAAAGAAAATGGATTTTTTTACTCCGTTATTAGTTCCGATCTAAAAAAATCAATTTCGAAACAAGAATTCTCATTCCAATTTCTGATTTTTCCCATGTTTTAGGATATCTGGAAATGCTAATTTCGATCCGATAGGTTCGATTTCCACTTCTATACATGTAATAAAAGATAACACAAGAAAAAGAAGATAGCATCTATTAGATTACACAAATAGTATTATAAAGAAACAACACAGAGAAAAAAAGTTGCATTAAATTTACAATCTATAGAGAATTACTATTCTTACAAAGGGGGGCTGTTCATTAATTGCCTCAAAGCGACGACTGCATGTACCGTACGGAAGATACTGCAGAGAGTGTCTCGACGAGTGAGGTCATCGAGCTCAAAGCCACGTTCAGTATTTCCGAAGAACAACCGGGTTTCGTAAGTTTCTTCACCTGAAAAAATCGACGCAAAAATGAATAATAAATTAAAAATAAAATATGAAGACATAGAAAATCATTGCCAAACATGTCACAAACTAAAAATAGAATTTTCCGAGGCATTCAAAAATAAATATATGTTGTGACTCGAAAAATGCCATGGGTAAAAAATCGGCTCGAAAAGAAGAAAAAAAAAAAAAAAAAAAAAAAAAAAGATGCTTAAATATTTAATTTAAATACTATACCATGTCGATATACAAATGAAGTTCCTTAATCTTTTCCGCATAATCCATTGAGCTATCTTTAATAAGTTTTTGGCCCTCTGGACAAATTTTGCTGTCGCGTAAAAATAAAATAATAATAAATATAACCAAAACGAGAAAAAAAACGGTTTGAAAATAAAATAAAATAAGATGACAAAAAATAATTTACGGAAAATCGATTACAAACCTTGGTTCAGTGTTCCAACAACTATCATTTGTACATTGCGGCGGATCGTACGATTTCCGAACAGAGTGTCTGTATGATATGTCTACAGCAGCTTCGTCCTTACGGAAAATCAAACGTCAGATTCATTCTCTTCGAAAAAATATCGTAACTTGCTACATTTTTACACATAGAAATCGGAATAAAATGTGTAGTGTTCGTCAATTCAAATCCGATAATCGCGAACACTATATACATTTTATCTATTTATTTAAAAGGAGTTCTAATTCCAATTTTGTACTCCAAATTTTTTTTTTTTAATTGTAATTCCTCCATCTAAAATAAAACAAAATTCCAATATTGAGTTTTCTCACTTTCATCAGTAAGATATCTGTGAAATTACCATTCTGACCCTACATACAAACACATTTGGATAATTTTTTCATGGTTCTATATGAAAGAATTCGCTCAAATTCGGAAACTTCAAACCAAAACCCATCTCCAAACAAACCCTAAAACAATTTCACTATATGAATGCATAAATTGAAATAACAGATGCGTAAAATAGTGTGTAGCAGTGAAATTTAATTACCAGAATTTGAGTTGATTGGCACTTGGAATCGCACTGTGGAATCATTTCCATTGAGCCCTTAAATTGTTTAAACAATTGTCACCGGAGCAGAGGGCTCCGGCGATGCTACGCCGCCGGGCTGACTATGGATTGCGGAAGAGTTTTTATTTCTTATTTTTTATGTTAGAGTAATAAGAATGGATTTTTTGGATTGGGATTTCAACTATTTTTCAAAGATTGTCTTTATTATGTCCATATTTTCAAATTACGAAAATTCCCCTCATATTTGGGAAATTATAGTTTTCCCCTCAACTTTATTATCTTACAAAAATACCCCTCCAGAGGTAAATTTAAGGATGTTAAATCGGTAAAATCGAACCAAAATTTCGATACGCCAACATTTCATACCGTTTACCGAACTAAATATACGATTTGGTTCGGTTTACATAAATTTTATGTAAAAATATTTAAAAGGAGGGGATGGCTGTAATTACCTAACCAAGAGGGGTTTTTTCGTAATTTGGTCATACAACAGGGGTGGCCTTAATTTGCTCTTTACTAATATTAATAATACATTTGCTTTCTTTGTATATTTAATAATGTGAATTAGAAATACATTTTATTTAATTAATTGATGTGCATTAAAAATAAACTAAGGCATATTACGGTCAACCCTGGAGTAAGGTCAAATTACGAGAAAAAAAAAATCATCTTTTTTGAGTAATTACAATCACCCCGTGTTGTCTTACGAAAAAAACCCCTACATTCGGTAGGTAAATTTGACACTGTAAACTCGGACGTGTAAAACAATTCATAATTGAAGGATGAATGTAATTACACAAACAAGAGGTGTTTTCGTAATTTAACTTTATGTCAGGAGGTGGCCGTGATTTGCCCAATAAATTAATCAGCATCAACCTTAGAGTGACACATAAAAAGAAATAGATGGAGTATGTTGTTACAAGGCTTTTGTGGAATTATGATTATAATTGGTGGTTAGACAACTTTGGATTTTTAGATAATTGCATTCTCGCCCTTTTTTGGGGTCCTATACTGAAGTTGGATTGTACTTGGTGGACTGAATTTTTGAGGTTATTTCATAGCTACCCCCGCCTGAGGACTGTTTTGCAATTACCGAACCTGCTGAATTTTTGAAGTTATTTCATAGCTACCCTCACCTGGGGACTGTTTTGCAATTACCTAACCTGCTGAATTTTTGAGGTTATTTCATAGCTACCCCCGCCTGGGGACTGTTTTGCAATTACCGAACCTGCTGAATTTTTGAGGTTATTTCATAGCTACCCTCACCTGGGGACTGTTTTGCAATTACCTAACCTGCTGAATTTTTGAGGTTATTTCATAGCTACCCCGCCTGGGGACTGTTTTGCAATTACTAAACCCACTGCATGGAGTTATGTGGAGAAACTGGACAAGTTTGCTTAATTGCGGTTTAACCCCCTGGGGTCCCTTTTGGAATTATCAAAACTTTTGCTGTCTTGGCACTAGAAGTTGTAGTTTATTTATCTTTTACCCCATTTTGGGGTGCATTGTAATAGGCTCGATAGGGTCGTTTCTCATTTTTTATTACCATCGCAAGGGTACTCTTTTTCCGTGTGTTAAGCCCACAAGGTTTTCACGAGGCCCCCAAACGCTTTATCATAGAGGAATAATAAAATAGTTTTGGCCAAACAAAAAAAAAAGGATATTTTTCTATTTTTGGAGAAAGTGAAAGAACTTGTTAGAAATATTTCAAGAAGATGAAAATACAGCAGCCCCAATTTTTACAATGATACAACAAAAGGGATCAACAGAAACCAACAAACAATTGTGTCTGTAACTAAAAGAGCTTTCTAAACATTCACAAAGAACTCTTAAAAACATATTTTTTTAAGCTTTTGTTAATTTTCTCATTGTGAGAACTTGAACCTGTTGGTTACCCCAAACAAGTCGGCTAATTCTAACACAGCTTTTTGGCACGTGGGGCCCAATGCTGACGTGGCTTCCGGAAGAAGAGGCACGCATTCGGGTTGAAACTCTATCTTGTCGAAAGATGGAGAATACAGTGATAATACGGCTCGACAAAATACAAATCTGCATGATAAGAAAGCATATATCATCTTTAGTAGCATTCCTCTAATATGAACTCCGAATATATATTACTGTTTAGGACAATAGAATTAATTACCTTAAAAGGATACGCCTCAAGAACGGATCAGTTAAAATCTGAGACCAGACTGGATCGAGATTCTCAGTTTCCACCAATGATGATCCCAATTTATTTAATGAGAGCTGGAGCAGCTTTTCAGCTTTACTATATAAGTCCTGAAAACCAAAGCAAGTCGTTAAGGCCTCGTTTGGGAATGTTATAGGAGTGAAAATTCAACCCCAAATATTTGACAAAGCTTGATTATATATTGACTATCCAGCCCAATCATAATTCCCAAACAAGGTCTAAGATAATACATATTATGAGAACTGATTAGGAAAGCACCTCACCGGAAATACGGGGTACTCTTTTCCTTGTTATTAGTAAAAAAAAATCGGCTAAAAATAAAGAAAAGATTAAGTGACACACCTTTTCAATATCGGTGCCAGTAAAACCTAGCAAAAGAATGAATGACTGCAAAGGAGCTGTGAGAAAACTGGTGAACAAGCTTCCGCCAGGCTGGCGAGAGGATTCGACAGCTGGCAAAGGTAATGATATGGCCGGAGATAGTAGAATTGCAACGGGTTCTCCTTTTTCCGCACCACTCATCGCCTGTTAATGTGTCGTACTTTAATTAGTTTTTGACTTTTGATTTTATTTATATATATATATGTGTGTGTGTGTGTGTGTGTGTGTGTGTGTGTGTGTGTGTGTGTGTGTGTGTGTGTGTGTGTGTGTGTGTGTGTGTGTGTGTGTGTGCAAGACTTACTTTGAATGCTTTACTATTTCCACTGTCAATCACTAAAAAGAGGGGCCTTCTTGTGAAAGGCAATAAGTCGGACGGATATATGCAGTTGAGACCTGAAATACATAATGCAAATATCACTCGGTACATTTACAATAAAAAAATGATAAAAAATTATCACTAGGAATTCCTCGATCCCTTTCGTGTGAATTAAAAGTCAAAAAAAATGTCACTAAGATACAAGTTAAATATATCTTGCATTAACAGCTCAAGCTTAAAAGTAATGAATTAACTATTGCTTTAATGTATTAATATATATACTTAAGGAAGATGAAGAGCTTACATAATATGAAATACATAAAAGATAAGCGCATAATAATACGATTCATTTACTGTACCTCTTTGTACAGGAGGACCAATATGCAAGCAATCAGAAATATTACGAGACTGATTTACACTATCATATCCACTTGTAATCGAATGAATATTGCTCGAATCCGAATTAATGGAACTAAACTGAAATCCCCTTGAAAGGTTTTCAATGTAACCAACAGAATTTCCGGAACGAGATGAAGATGGCGTAGGCATAGCATGTTCACCGTTTCCTGAGGCACGTATATTTATGTTTAATATATAGATTATGTTAAAAGGAAAAATAACGCGTAAAAGTATAAGGATTAATAATTATATTACCTGCTGAAAGGTATATTAAGAGAATTCCATCGGAAGGAAGCTCCTCGGACACTGTCCCCAAGACCTAAAGACATGCAATATTATAATTTTTTAAATGAAAGATTTACAAATTATATTGGATTGTATGAATATTATTGCAATTTTACCGTGGCACAATAAAATGAATACTCACAGCTAGGAAATGTGTGACACATGGGCGAAACAAGATGGCTTTTCTTGGATTAGGTGGCAAAGTCGGATCGGTTATATCCTGATTGACTCGACTATGTCCAGACACTCCATTTTGAGTAACGCCAGATCCAGTTACAATAGTGGGACCCACGCTCGACTGATAAAACGAACCGCTCGGTTCCCACTCTAAAGTTTGTAGCATCCTAAAAGTGTCGAGTGTGAGCTCCGAAAACTTTACCTGGTTCGCAACAAAGAGGAATAAATAATATTTGAGATTAAACTATTTTTAGATATTAAATTTTTTTTCTGTGGGCTCCAATAAAGAATAAAGTCAACGCAAACCTCGTTTGGATGGTAACTGCACAGTAAAGCATCTCTTAGTCTTAGCTTTCGTTTGGCATCGGGAACTTGTGGGAGATTATCTGGATGAAGTTCCAATACAACGCTGTACCTTAAAGGCCTTATATTCATAAATGATGTGTCGGCTTTTAGGAATTTCACTATTTCTTGAATTACGAGCTTCCATTCTTTAAAGTCGGTTTCCTGGAATAAGACCACAATAATAAAATAAAATAAATAATAATAAAAAAATTAAAAAAAAAAAAAAAGAACACATCACAATATCACAATACACATAAATCATACGCTAACAATCAAATACGTAGACAAGAAAGATGACCTGAAAAGTCCTTTTGCATTCGTCAAGCAACATTTTAAGCTGATTAACCAACTGGTAGACCATTTCTCGGCGGTTCAACACCAAACAAACTGTCAGAAACCGAGCAAGAAACCTCAACTGTTTGCTGGCAAGATTCACATCCTGATGTAACCCGTCCTTGAAATACTCCCTCGTCAAGATTGCCTCGTAGAATATGTAAGATTCCGACAAGAAATTTGCCTCACTAGTTCTCATGTACTGTCCGAAGTAAAGCTGTCCTATTCGAGAGGCAATTTCACCTATCTCCCATCTCTTTAGCCCAGATTCAACCAGCTTCTGTCGATTTTCTTGTTGGAATTTCCATAGCTGAGTGTAGACTTTAAATACTTTATAGAAGTATGTATCGTATCTGGAATTTCATAAGAAAAGAAACATCGTCTCGGTTTCACTAACACAACAACGTAATAATGGACCAGAAATCCAAATATCAAGGTAACTACTACTCTTACATATTGAACACGGAAAATAATCGAACACTATTCACCAAGCCCTAATTAATCGAAAAATCGATGCTAGGTAAAATATCCATGTTGTGTATTCTGTAGTCCGTGCCCAAAATCGAGCTTAAAACCCGAACATTGTACGATAATCTTCGCAAATAAACATGGTAAAATGTGATCATTCATGTGATTAAACCTAATTTCAAACACATTTCTACCAGACGTATTGCCACTACAAAAGCAATAATCAAACACATGAGCTCGGATGAAAAAAAAAAATGGGCAACACGAAGAAGTCAAGAAATCACAAAACAAATTGAAATTCTCACTGAAGAAACACAATCAATTCGAAATTGCAAATTAATTCGAGACAATTCGTGTTAGGGTTTGAATACCTGGTTCTTTGATAGTAGGGCAAATCGCGGATCTTAGAGAACTTCTTGTCGGCCTTGGCCACCAGAGACCAGTAAACCTCGCTCACCGGAATACCATCGCCGCCAATCTGAAACTCGTTCTGCAGCATTTTGACTTTCTCTCTCTACAATTCGGCGAATTTTGTCTTACTGTGTTGAATTCGAATCGAAATTGTAAACAAACTACTAGCTGTGATATAAACCAGAGAGAAACAGTTGTGAAATTTGGGGATATGTGGAAGAAGGCGAAAGAATATTAAAAGAGAGAAAAATTAAGTTCCGAATATTTTATATTTCCCCTTTCCACCCTCATACTCTTAATTCCATCGATTTTACACTTGTACAGTTGTGTCAATGTAGCCCTCTCCGTCAATTTTCACGATTTTGACTTTGACGCCGTTGCCGTTTGGTCAAGGTCTGTAATTAAAAAAATAATTGTAACATGTTTTTTTCTTTTTCTAATAATTATTTAAACTGAAAGGGTTGGTTTTTTTTGTAATTTTCAAACTTAGATCAAACGATGTTAAGGTCGAATGTGTTAAAACTAACGGCGAGGGTCACATTGAGACAATTTTTCAAGTACATGGGGCAAATCGATGCAATTGAGAGTAGAAGTGGGTAAAGTGATATCGAACCAAAGTACAAGGGGGTAAATCGATGCAATTGAGAGTAGAACGGAGTAAAGTGATATCGAGTCAAAGTACAAGGGGAGAAAGTGGAATTTACCCAAAATAAAAATATCATTTAATGAGTTTAAAATTAAACTTTAAATGGAGTATATGTTATAATTTAGAAATATGAGAGTGTATATGTAATTAGATCTAACATTAGGGAGGGAGAGTGTAATTTACTTAATATTAAAGGTAAAAGTAGACATTCAAAAAAGTCATTGGTAAAATAAAGGTGACAATTAAATCTCAAGGAGATATGCGTAATTTTCCAAACTAGAGAGGCCTTAATTGTAGTTACCCCAAACTTCAGGGAGATATGTATTAAGTTCCCTAAAAGAAGCTGCATTAACTATCTGGAGGGTAAAATACATTTTTTGTCCCTCAAGTTTACACCGATTTCATATTTAGTCCCCCATGTTTACAAAAATACATTTGATCATGTATGTTGCAAAAATTCAACACTTTTAGTCATTTCTGTCAGTTTCCCACTATAACTAATGGAATCAAGCTTGTGGCCATAAATGCCTTAACTAACAGACTAACGGTAAATTGACGGAAATGACTAAAAATATTAAATTATCGGAGCATAAGGGACCAAATATGTTTTTTTGTGAATATGAAGACCAAAATATGAAATCGGTACAAACTTGAGGAATGAAAAATGCAATTTCTCCATTATCTTGATGTAGAAGAAAACATTAAGCACCCAAAAGTATATAACCCACAAAAAACGTAGAGTAAGCTGAGATCAAGAATCATTTCTCCTTTATCGGGTAATTCGTATACATGATTAGGCTACTATGGTTTACGTCTCTCGTATAGTTTACGAGCTATTATACGAGAGTGTGGGTTTACCAAATTATATATATATATTTTTAAGAATTATTAGCTTTAAGTAATTGTCATTTAATTATTTAAAAAAATAAAAACAATTTTCCCATTTCTTTGTCATTTGATTCCACTTTCTGTGGTGGCCGGTGGGGGTGGCGGTTGATGACATATAGGGTAAAAAATGTGGTATAATTTTACATTTTATATATATATATATATATATATATATATATATATATATATATGAAAGACTTTTATTTATTTTATGCGGAAAAACTTTAATCACAGAATTTTGAAATCAAGTTAATCTTAAGAACATAACCACATAATTAGGATTATCGACATACCGTTCGCCATGGGTTTAGATAGAGACGATGAGCAATCTACAAGCCGAGCCTAGCCAGGCCTCCTTTGAATCTCCTTGTGAGAACTTTATTCGTAGGCACACCTTCTTCTCTCTATCTCTCTAATATCACAACTCATTAGTATTCTGTAAGTGATGGAATTCTCAATTGCGTCTGATGGTTGAGGAGAAGAGTTGTGGATTTCTTTTATAGACGAGAGAAGAGGGCCACGATTGATTTGTAACGGCAGAAGACAAATCCCACCCATCATGGTCTTTTACTGCCTTCAACGTTACAAATCAATTACCATAAAATCACCTTAATACCATGATTTGAATTACCCACAATTAATAAATTAAATACAAAGGTTAATGGGCCATTAAAATAAAACGTTACCAAAATAAAACTAACATTCTCCCACTTGGCCCATTGAACCGTTTAAGAAAAATAAGTTTTAAAAATTATTTGATTCGGTGGGTTCTTCATACAAAACATTTGACACGTGATCACGATTTTAAAAAAAAATTAAGGTGATTACCATAATAGGTAAATAGAGTACTTTAATACTAGAACTAGTTTGAGTTATTAATGTGAATCATAGCGGTTATATGATTCATTCATCATATTCCCTTCTATGTATCACGCCACTAATAACCCTTACTATTCTAATCCATAATAGCCCCTTTAATTTTGTCTTGTTAGGACAAACCTGTTAAATCCAAATATAATATGTGCACACATAATTGGAAACAGGAAAACAGAAACATTTCATTCAATAAATTAAGTGTCAATTACATAATAATAACTCATCAAATCATGGATTGCTCAAAAGACCCATTCTAATAACATGTTCCTCATATGTCTTTATAGGCAATCCCTTGGTTAATGGATCAGCAACCATAAGAGTTGTACTTAAATTTTCTATTGACACTTGTTGTTTCTGGACTCTTTCTTTAACAACCAAGTACTTAAGATCCATGTGCTTGGATCCACTTGAATACTTTCCATTCTTAGAGAAGAAAACGGCTGCGGTGTTATCACAATATATCTTCAAAGGCTTAGCAATTGAGTCAACAGCCTTAAGCCCTAAGATAAAATTTCGCAACCATAGTGCATGACTCGAGGCCTCAAAACATGCTACAAACTCAGCCTCCATTGTGGAAGAAGCAATAATACTTTGCTTTACGCTCTTCCAAGAGATTGCTCCACCAGCTAGTAGAAATACAAAGCCCGATGTGGACTTTCTACTATCTACACAACCAGCAAAATCGGAGTCTGAATAACCAATAACCTCTAATTGGTCCGATCTCCTATAAGTAAGCATGTAATCCTTTGTTCCTTGAAGATACCTCATAACCTTCTTTGCTGCTTTCCAATGATCTATTCCCGGATTACTTTGATATCTACCAAGTACTCCCACTGCATAACTAATATCTGGTCTAGTACAAGTCTGTGCATACATCAGACTTCCAACTGCTGATGCATATGGAATCAATTTCATTTTCTCATTTTCCAAATCATTCTTTGGACATTGCTTTTCATTTAATTTATCACATTTCGTGATAGGAGCATTAATGGCTGAACAAAACTGCATATTAAATCTTTCAAGAACTCGATTGATATATCCTTTCTGAGACAAGCCTAACAATCCTCGAGATCGATCTCTAAAGATCTCTATCCAATGACATAATTTGCCTCACCCATATCAACCATCTTTAAATTCTTGGAAAGATAATTCTTGGTTTCATGAAGCAAACCAAGATCACTACTTGCTAGTAAAATATCATCCACATACAAGACTAAAAAGATAAACTTGCTCCCACTGACCTTTAGATATATACACTGGTCAACAGTGTTTTCCTTAAATCCAAAGGAAGTAATGGCATCATTGAATTTTATATACCATTGTCTAGAAGCTTGTTTAAGTCCATATATGGATTTCTTTAATTTACAAGCCAAGTGTTCCTTTCCTTGTTTTGCAAATCCTTCAGGCTGGTCCATATAGATATCTTCATCTAAATCCCCATTCAGAAAAGCGGTTTTAACGTCCATTTGGTGCAACTCCAAATCATAATGAGCTACAAGAGCCATAACGATTCTAAGAGAGTCTTTCTTAGATACTGGAGAGAAAGTTTCTCTATAATCAATGCCTTCCTTTTGAGTGAAACCTTTGGCTACTAGTCTAGCTTTAAATCTTTCGATATTGCCTTTAGAGTCACGTTTGGTCTTGAAGACCCATCTAAAACCGACTTTCTTACTGTTATTAGGCAATTCGACAAGATCCCAGACACCATTATAGTCCACTGATTTCAACTCTTCATTCATAGCATCAATCCATTTACTAGAATCTTTACTTTTCATGGCTTGTGAATATGAAACTGGATCATTTTGAATACCAATATCAAAATTAGATTCTTGTAGATACACCACGTAATCATCGGATATGGCAGATTTCCTTTCCCTTTGAGATTTCCTCAAAGCTACCGGTTGTGGTGGTTCTACAGTATTGCCAATGATGACATCTTCATGAAGTGGTGAATGAAGTGGTGAATCATTTGTTTCAACCTGCTGTATAGGTTGAAGATTAACTTTATCTTGAGGGAAATAAGATGGTAACATATCCACCATAATTTCCTCAAGTTCTACCTTTCTTGATTCAACACTCCCACTAACTTCGCCATTCTCTAAGAATTTGGCGTTTCCAGTTTCAACAATCCTCGTAGTATGGTTAGGACAATAAAATCTGTACCCTTTAGACTTTAGTGGATAACCAATAAAATATCCAGAAATTGTTCTAGGGTCCAATTTCTTTTCATTTGGATTGTATATTCTAGCCTCTGCTGGACAACCCCAAACATGTAAATGTCTTAAACTAGGTTTCCTACCAGTCCACAACTCGTAAGGAGTTGTTGGGACCGCCTTACTAGGAACCCGGTTTAAGATATACATAGCGGTTTTTCAAGGCTTCATTCCAAAATGAAATGGGTACAGTTGAATTACAACATACTCCTAACCATATCCATGAGAGTACGATTACGACGTTCAGCAACTCCATTATGCTGTGGTGTTCCAGGCATTGTGTATTGAGCACAAATACCACGCTTTTCTAAGAATTTAGCAAATGGGCCAGGATTTTGTCCCGACTCATCATATCTACCATAGTATTCCCCACCCCGATCTGATCGTATAACTTTAATTTTTCTATCTAATTGTCTTTCGACTTCCGTAACAAACACCTCAAGCATGTCAACGGCTTGAGATTTTTTTAATGAATTAGATAGAGATAACCACAACGAGATAGATCATCAATAAAGGTGATAAAATATTTTTTTCCACTAAAACATGGAATAGGTAGTGAGCAGATATCTGTATGGATTAACTCAAGAAGCTCTTTACTTCTTGTGGCACCCGTTTTATTGTGTTTGGTTTGTTTACCCTAATGCAATCAACACACATTTGAAAATCAGTAAAGTCTAGATTTTCCAAAATTCCAGTTTTTACCAATCTTTCGATTCTTTCCTTGGAGATGTGCCCCAAATGTTTATGCCACAAGATAGAAGAATTTTCGTTATTTAGGTTTCGCTTTACGCCAACTTCCGAATGAGTGGTTAATAATGATTGTTCAAACTCATGATTCAAAGATATTTTATATAAACTATCACATAAAATACCGGAACCAATTATTATTGAATTAAACATAACACTGAGTTTTCCACAACCAATTAAAGCTCATTCAAATTCCACTTATCTTTTTGAGTATTATAGTGGATTTTAAATGGGCCGAACTTTGATGGAAGTGAGTTAAGGATAAATTGTACAAGGAAGGACTCTTCCACTTTCATGCCAAAAGCTCCAAGTTTGGCAGCCTTATCAGTCATATTCAGGATGTGTTCCTGAATTCCCTTATCACCACCATATTTCATGGTAGTCAATTCAGCCATGAGTGTCCCTGCTAACGACTTGTCCGCTGATTTAAAGCGTTCTTTAATAGCCGTTAACAGTTCCATAGCATTGTCAACCTCAGAAAGAGAAGTCTTAATATTATTAGCAACATTCATTCTAATAAGCATAAGACTAAGCCTATTGGACTTGGTCCAGGCTTCAATTAGGCTAACTGCTTCCTCACTGTTAGCATCCGTTATTTCCCCCAGGTGTTTCAGTAAGCAATGCTAGGTCCAAATCCATAACACCCAATGTGAATTGAATTTGTTCATACCATTCGGAGAAATTTGACCCACTGAGAGTCTTAATACCAGAAGCATGCGAGTACAACGAAGTAGGAATAGCAACTGGAATAAATATAGCAAATATAATAAGGTAAAGATAAAAGGATGCTCGAATAAGGCCTTGAGTCAAGTAAGATGAACTATCGATATCACTACAAGTTCGCCTTTGGGTGAAATACAACATACCTATTGTTCACTCTATGTTGGTGTAAAAGATCTTTTATAACACCTAAGTAGGGTCTAACATAATTTGTCTCACTCGTCAATTATTCATGTTACCTTTAGGTAAACAATTCTAATTGCTAAGTAATACAAATTATGATACCCTACCCAGTTCATAATTAATTAAAATCGACTATCCTTTGAGCTAGTTTCAATTTCTTAATTATGACTGCAATTTGAGAATATTATAATCTTTAATATCATGTAAATGATTAAACTTTCATATAGTTCTTATATTTATTAGATTTTACTAATCTAGGTCACTTTAGCAACTACGAGATTAGTAAATTTCATAAATATAAAACTAATAATATTCTCGTTATTTTAATTTAAGTGATACCTTTAATTGCAAATTAGTCATGGAATAAATAATCATAACAATAACAATTCATTTTGCAAAAGAAATAATTTACGGCATGTGATACATTAACAAAATGATGTACGTCACAGAATGATTAAAATTCAATACATGCACAATAAACTTTATCAGATCGCATATAATTCAGCTTACAAAAGTATAAATTCTGTTATGCAGTTATAACATACAAATACACCAATTGTTAAATATAATATATTTCTTTGATTAAATATATTTAAACCACTGTTGGTTTTTCAATCAACAACTTTAACCAGGACATTTATTTATTTATTTATTTATTAAATATCACGTGTGTTTATCATATTACACACACAACACGCTGCACACACACACACACACACTCAAAATACAGCCATATACAATTCATACAATCGGCATATACAAATCAATACATTGATATAATAATAAAATAAATAAAAATAGAACAGGACACTTTTGTCAAAACATTAATATCGTGGAAAGGTTGTGATTTTGCAGGAATAATAATAATCACCCAATTACTCAAAACTAATATCAAAACACAAATAATAATCATAATCGCAATTCAATTTTATGAAATCATAAATTCGTAAGATTAACATATAACATATTTAAGTTCTAAGATGAATCGATTTCAAAACCCTGCTCTGATACCAATTGAAAGACTTTTATTTAATTTTATGCGGAAAACTTTAATCACAGAATCTTGAAATCAAATTCATCTTAAGAATATAAGCACGTAATAGAGATTATCGACATACCGTTCGCCATGGGTTTAGATAGAGACGATGAGCAATCTACAAGCCGAGCCTAGCCAGGCCTCCTTTGAATCTCCTTGTGAGAACTTTATTCGTAGGCACACCTTCTTCTCTCTATCTCTCTAATATCACAACTCACTAGTATTCTGTAAGTGATGGAATTCTCAATTGCGTCTGATGGTTGAGGAGAAGAGTTGTGGATTTCTTTTATAGACGAGAGAAGAGGGCCACGATTGATTTGTAACGGCAGAAGACAAATCCCACCCATCATGGTCTTTTACTGCCTTCAACGTTACAAATCAATTACCATAAAATCACCTTAATACCATGATTTGAATTACCCACAATTAATAAATTAAATACAAAGGTTAATGGGCCATTAAAATAAAACGTTACCATATATATATATATATATATATATATATATATATATACAACATTTTATAGTTGTATGAAAGTAACAATTAAGTAGTTTGGTTGAATTTGTTTGGGTGTATATTAATGTATATTTTATCTACATGGTTTTTAATTATTGGACCAAATAATTGAGCTCATTTTTATTAATAAAAATAATTTTTAAATAAATATGAAAAATAATATATATTTTAATTAGTTTGATTAGGAAATTGGATTTGTTTTGCTTCTTCAAAATGGTTTGACACGTGGTCTTCTTTGGGTGTGGGTTCTTTTTCAAGTATAGTGCACTCCACACATCTACATTCACCAACTAACCTTAATTCTACTTGAAACTAATAGATATTTTTTTTTATTCTAAGTTTAGATTGATAAATAAAAAGCTTAAAGTAAAGGCATGATGATAAAAAAAAGAAAAGGAAAAAAAAGTAGATGAGAAGCTATTCTTTATTTATAAACCTAAATGCCTTTCTTTTTATTAGTTTCTAGCCTTGTAAGATCTCCAATTAATTTTGAAGTGTTTGTTCGGTTATCGCTATAAAGTTCTATTAACTAAATAGTAGGAGCTAGTAATACGTTCGGTTGACAAGATTCATACTTATTCAAAAAACTTTATGAAAATCGAATTAAAGCACGCTATTAAATATTACTATTTCATTAAATTAGTAGCACCCCTCCCTTCAAAGATTAATTTAATAGGGGTGATTAAACAAGTCAAAATACTATTTATTATTCAAACATAATTTAACAGATCAATACTAGATCGAATCCAACGAACTGAACACTTTAGTAACTAAATAATTAATAAGTCAGTATATAATTTATACAACCTCATCTAATCCAATATAGGTAATCGAGTGAGCCCTTGTAAACTAAAAAGTTATCCTTTGCAAAGCGGGAAAACAAGGGTATATCAGATATTAAATATATTAAGTAATGGTCGAAATTAAACATCGGGAGAAGTTTGTGTAAGTTTTCAAAATTTGAAAGGATTCAAATGTAACTAGATCTAAATTTGAAAGGATTCGAATGTAATTAGATCTAATTTAGGGAGACCGTATTTGCAATCTACACTCAAAAAAAAAAAAAATCCAACGAGTGTAAAAACGTCAATTGATTATATATCGAGTCCGATTTTTTTTTTAAATCTAAATCGAACATCGAGGAAAGTTTGTATAGTATTTTCCAACCGCGACTATAATTATACCTAACGTCAGGGGAGGTCGTTATAATTCTTTGGTGTATATCTAGATTTGTAAGTATAATATTAAAAAGTACTTATTGAAAAAAAAAATTAGAAAAAAGGTCATATCAACTTCCAACTTTCCAAATTTAACCTTGTAGTTGGTTTTCTTACCTTCCAAGCCCTATTTGCTTTACACTTTTCCCAACCTCCAAGATCCCACAAAAAATTTCCTCTTGAATATTAATTTTTTTTTTATTACAAACAGAAGTAGAAAAGAATTACAGATCATAGTATAGATTCTTGAAAAGAAAAAGAAAAAAAAAAAAGAAAATGGGATCTGCCGGAAATCAAAATCCATGGGCGCCTTACAACAACTACAAGGACTGCACACAAGGTGTTTGTTCAATTTACTGCCCACAGTTCTGCTACTTCATCTTCCCTCCGCCGCCGCCGGAGAACGACTCCGCCGCCCCATTCTCCCCTCTGATCATCGCCATTATCGGAGTGCTAGCCAGCGTCTTCCTCCTCGTGAGCTACTACGCGATCGTCACGCGCTACTGCAAGGGGAGAAGAAACCGGACGACGACGACAAGCCCGGATCAAACCGATCCGAACCGCGACCACCAGTTTCATGCCGACTCGGCATCTGGATTAGACGAAGCCCTAATCAAGAAGATCGCTGTCTGCAAGTTTGTCAGAGGCGACGGCTTGATCGAAGGGAGTGAATGCGCCGTTTGCCTTAGTGAGTTCGAAGAAAACGAGTCGTTGAGGCTCTTGCCGAAGTGCAGCCATGCTTTTCACTTGCCTTGCATTGATACATGGCTGAGATCGCACTCGAATTGCCCGTTGTGTAGGGCCCACGTCGTAGTTTTAGCTAATCATTTGCCGATTGCTCAACCCTCTTCTTCGCCGCCTCCTCTTTACGTCGATTCCAATCAAGATCCAGCGCTTAACGAGTTGGTTTTGACGGTGGATGATCGAGAGATTGTAAGCCCGATTAGCGATAACCGAAGCCCGTTTCAAGATTGCGACGAAAATGCAGAGGTTGTAATAAAAGAAGTAACGAGTGAGAAAATTGTTGGAAGTGATTTTAGAAGATCGATTTCTTTGGGTACGTTTCCGTTTCAACGCAACCTTTTGATATCCGACGTTTTGAAATTTGATGAAATCGAAGATTTACGAGTGGAGAAAGATCGATCTTCGAAAGGAATTGGTTGTTCGAAGGGATTCGCGGTGGAGGAAAGGAAATCGAGTGGCGGTAATATAAAGAGGTCTTTTTCGAGTGGCGCGTGCATTTTTACGGTCCGTGATAAAGGAAAGAGTTCCTTACTCCCCCATTGATTAATTTACGCGGCTTCGGTGAATTTAAAACTCTCTTATATTGTAAAAAATTGTCAATATTTACCTACATAAAGGGAATTAATGAAGTCCATGTTCATAAGTTATTTGAGTATATATATTATCGATTTTACATTATCGAAGAAGGAAATAATCGAGCTGTTCATTTGTTTCTTCTCTCGATCGCTATATCCGCAATTGTTTAGATTTTTGCAACCGTAGCAGTTGTTAGCACCGTTGATTTGCTACAAAAAGTTGTTTTGTAAAAATCGTGTTTATTTTACGTCGGTGCTCCGAAAATTCTGATTTATTTCCCAAATTTACACTTTTTTTTTTATATAAGTAGTATTATGTATTTTATGCTTTAGACCATTAAAAGTTGAAACTTATGCATATTACCACGAATCGAGCTCAAATAATTTGATTTTCGTACACATGATTTTAGCATATTTCTTTATTTCTTATCGAGCTCGAGCTCAAGCTGAACTTTATTACTTATCAAACAAGAATATATATTACTTATTTATACATCTATTTATATTCATTATTATTACGTAACACAAACTATATCACAATTACCCTATTATGAAATAATATTATTACAATTAACCCCAGAGGGTAAAATTGGTATTTGTTGCAAACAAACTTGAGGGGTTCTTTAGCTAATTATGGATACATGAGGGCGTGTTTAGTAAACCAACCTTAGTTCAGGGGTTTCTAGTAATTTACACCGTTTTTCTTCACACTTGACTCCGGCTGCACAAAGCGCCGCTCAGAGCTTATGGCGGCCGGCGAAACGGCGGAGCGCAAGCCGTCGGCGTGTTGCATATCACACGCGTTCTACAAAGCCGCTTCTAAATTCCCCCATAAAATTGCCGTTATACACGCCTCCGGTTTCGCTCGAATTACCCGTGATAACACCGCCGCCAACGCACCGCCGCATGACGATGCTATCGAATTAGCCTCCGTGGAAAGAGCATCTTCTTCCCGACCACCAGTCTACGACGGCGACGAGTGCTTCACTTTCTCCGATATTATCTCCGCCGTCGATAACCTCAGTTCTCGACTCAGGCACATTCTCAACGGCGCCGACGATCCATATCTTATCAAAACCCAGCCAGGTAGAAATTGGGGGAAAAATTTAGCACATTTGGCCGATTGAATTGGATTTTCATGATATTATATTATTTGCCGAAATAAAATAAAAACACTAATTAATTAATTATATTAACTGAAATTATATTAATTGAAATGATGTTTTTCATGATTGGTCAAAGTATATATAGTTAGAATGATTTCTTGTCTTTGCATTTTCTCGTTTCCTGGAAGTTAAGCTTGATTTCGAATACGTTGCAGTTAACAGTTTCAGAGAAGAGTCTGCACAAGTTTCCGAAGAATCGTTGCAGTGTTTCTCGACTAAGTTTCGGAATCTACGCACTCCGAAAGTTGTAGGGATATATATGGAGCCGTCGGTTGAGTACATTGTGGCTGTTCTTTCTGTTTTAAGATGCGGGGAAGCGTTCATGCCTTTAGATCCATCTTGGCCAAAAGCGAGGATATTATCACTCTTGTCTTCTTCAAAAGCTAATCTAGTTATCGGGGTCGAATCGTCGAACGAGGAGAAGCTTTTTCACAGGCTCGATACGATAAATTGGCTTGTTAGTGAAGGAAATTGCCCTGTTGTATATGTATGTATGAAGGATATTATCAAAGAACAGTCTCGTTCGTTAGTGTTGGAGTGGCCTTGTGAAAATGAAAGGTTGAGATCGTTCTGTTACTTGATGTACACGTCAGGATCTAGCGGAAAGCCTAAGGGTGTATGTGGCACTGAAATAGGTGCGATTTTTTTATTACGATTAAGAGGGTGTTTGGCCTAGCTTGTTTTAAACATCTGATAAGCTGTTTTAAAAGCTGCTGATAGTTAAGAGTTGATAAGCTGTTACATCTCATTTTTTAAATTAATTTTTTAAGTGTTTGGATAATGAGCTTATAGGCTCTCCAACAGCTTATTTGTTGAATTTTTAAGATCTTTTTGAAAAAAGAATTACCAAGCACTTTTACAGTGCTTATAAACTCTTAAACATCGTATAAGTTGTTTTGACCTTTGAGCATTTTTTCAGGATTCAGGATCTTTTTATTCTTTATTTACGACAGTGTTCTTATGCCAACAACCCCTTATTGCAGGTCTTATTAATCGTTTTATGTGGATGCAAGAAACGTATCCTCTACATGAAGGAGATATAGTGCTTTTCAAAACAGCAATAAGCTTCATTGATCATATACAAGAGTTTCTTGGAGCTGTACTTTCCACTTGTACGTTGGTGATACCTCCTTTCAGTCAGCTAAAAGAAAATATATTCTATATAACGGATTTTTTACAGGTACACGGCTTAGAATAAGCTCGAGTATATTTTTAAAAAGTTATTTTCTGCTTACTACTAGAACTAACTTACTTTTTCCAAGGGATACATGATTAAGAGGCTTGTAGCTGTGCCCTCTTTGATGAGAGCAATCCTTCCGTCTTTGCAAAGTCGACGCTTCAGAACGATTCAATATTCCTTGAAGTTATTAGTGCTAAGTGGTGAAGTCTTACACCTTTCCTTGTGCAAGACGCTTCTGAAGTTACTACCACAAACTTCGATTTTGAATTTGTATGGGAGCACGGAGGTTAGATCTGAAAATTAATACTTCAAGATTTAGAATTTTCGATTTCTTTCACTGGATACTATTTGATAATTGTCGAATAGTGCTGATGTGGAGCCGTGGATGGTGGCTTATTTTGCCTTATGTGGTCAATTATTTTTAAGTCGTTTTTACATGTTATCGAACACTTGTGTGAAACATGTTTATGTTAAGGTGACAGGTGACTGCACATACTTTGACTGCAAGAGATTGCCACTGATTCTTGAAAAGGAAGAACTTAGCAGTGTGCCAGTTGGCTTGCCTTTGTCTAACTGTGAAGTGGTCCTTGTTGGAGAAGATGCACCGTTGCAAGGAGAGATATATGTGAGCGGGCTATGTGTTGCAGCGGGTTACTTCGACTATCCATATCTTATCCCTTTAGCTGATAGAGTTCAAAAGTACTTCAAAACGGGAGATTTTGCCAGAAAGCTCTCGAGTGGCGATTTGGTTATTCTTGGAAGAAAGGATCGTACATTGAAGGTCAATGGGCAAAGAGTTGCACTTGAGGAGATCGAGACTGCATTTCGTGACCACCCTAGTGTAGTTGATGCTGCGGTGCTATCCCGTGAGGTTGATGGAGAAATCTTGCTTCTTGAAGCTCATGTGGTGATGGAGGAAAAAAACGAGGATGATGAACTTTTGAAATCTTCTCTTAGGAACTGGCTATTGAATATGCTTCCTCTAGGTTATGATACCGACTCGCATATTGTAACCGATACCTTGTGGACTCTTTCTGGAAAAGTTGATTACATGTCGTTAGCTGCTTCGACGACGTCAGATGAGCAAGACAGGATAATCTTGAAGAATGACCACGATTCACCTCATTCAAGTTA